TATATCTTATATAATAGTCGTCGGAATCACTTCTTCGGCGTCTTCTTCAGACAGTTCTTCACGATTGCCGTCAAAAGTGGCCTAAAAAGCGAGTAATGGACACAAAATGAGTACAAGAAGTGGATGTGAAACACGACTCAACAGACAATTGTTTGGATTGGTTGTCGTCTTTGAGACGAAGTCCTAACTTGTGTTGAGCCGAAGACCTGTCAAACTTTGACTGCTTTTGTTGACCACTCTCTGCAAATACAAAGCCACTGTCAATGACACCAAACCACTGGACAATGGGATCAAATGGGGTGACAAACCGTTAGCGAACACACTTAACGAGTGTTTATAACCGTTGAGACGAAGATATTCGGCGATGAGTTGGTCGACGAAGAGGTGGTCATCGGTGGCGCGAGTGATGTGTTGAACGCAATGCTTGTTATCATCGATATTATCGCAAACTCTGAACACATGAGCCCTCAATTGGGCGCGAATTTCGTCAAGAGATCCGTCACTTTGGAGGGCAGACAACACCGCTGTCGTGGACACCAACCGCGAGTTAGGCCAGTCATGCGATCAATGGTGGTATAAGTGATGACTTACCGGTCTTTAACGGTTCCAACTCTTTGTCTTCAGTGGTGTTATCCATGGATGTGATCAGCGATTCATTCAAACAGACACTGCACTCAATACGAGACCAATAATAACGTCAAACATTAGTGCAGTTTATGTGCGACCCCTTCGGTCGTGTGGTTTACTTCACTGCATGACTCGTTCAATAGATTCTGTGTTTTAGTTAATTGTAATTTTGACTAAATTTTATTTATGTTTTGCAGTGAATGTGGCCATAAGATAACTACACGGAAAAAAATTTTGAATTGTTTTACAAATATAAAACTCGTTAAAAAAAGTCTTGTCGTTTCTAAATGATTAAATAAAGTTGTGGCTAATAATTAAAGATATATAATATTTTTATTAATTTATATATAATTTAGCATATAACAAACTATAATTATTTATAACTGTATTTATTAATATATTTAGTAAACAGAATTAGCAGGTATTGAGCATGCACAATTATTTTCATAGTGCACTTAATGATAATTGTATTCATATGATGTCCACATCTCTTAATAATATCACTCATACTCTTTATAAATGCAATCAATTATTGTTTGCTTCGAGTAATCATACGTCGAGTGAATCCCTTATAAACTTATATAAGTATTGGATCACAAATATTAGGAATGAAAGCATTTGAGAAAATTTGATTAAATATTTTGACATGAATATAGAGTCTATATTATAGACATAGAACTACCTGTTCCTATTATAGGGATATGGGATAAGGCACTCTAGTCTATCAATTGCTCAGAATAATTGATTTGATTACCAATAATACCATTAAGCCATATCTTAGCACATATAATACAGCACTCATGATATATACAGTACTACAGTAATAATTTGATAATAAAATAATGTCAGTTATTTACCGTATTAAAGAATAATTTTATAGAAAGTTAGCATTTTTATACATTTTGTAAGAGTGATTCATTTAATAATTAATGGATACTTTATAAATAAGTATTAATAGTGAATAATAATTTCAAGTTAAATTAAGCAAAAATGTTTGCTTTGAAAGCAATATCATTATTAGTTTTCATTATAAGTCTATGGACTGTGAGTACAGCACTATATCCACGAGAGTCTGAGACCAGAGATTTGAAACTATTGGACGGCTTTTGGAACTTTCGGGTCATTACTGTAGACGAAGACCAAAATGTTGGCTTCACTGACAAGTGGTATACAAAACCACTGGTAAGACATGGAAATACATTCACTTTTTACAAAATTCTTTGTTTAATACTAAAAAATTAGTAAAATGTGAATGCTATTAATTGATTTGATAAACTTTTGTATAACAATTATTTGTAAAAAAGACAGGGGATGTGATCCCAATGCCGGTGCCATCGAGTTATAACGACATAACTCAGAGCAGATACTTACGAGACTATGCGGGATGGGTTTGGTATGACTCGTCATTCTTCGTGCCTCAGGAATGGAAAGACTCTGAAGTGGTCCTGAATTTCGGAAGTGTTAACTATGAGACCATTGTATACGTGAACGGAAAGAATGTGATGAACCATACGGGCGGACACTTACCCTTTGAAGAGTATGTGACGAATGGCCTTAACTATGGGGAAAGCAATAGAATAACTGTGGCCCTGAGTAATGTCTTAACTCAGGAGACTATACCCCAGGGTCTGGTGGCCTATAAGAATGATACAAAAGGATTATATCCCAAAGGATTTTATATAACAAAAACAAATTTCGATTTTTTCAATTATGCGGGAATTCACAGACATGTCACCCTTTATGCCTTACCTAAGGATCATATAAACGATATAACAGTTACCACTGATATCAAAGACACCAAAACAGGAATTATTAACTATTCAGTCACTCATAGCGATCAGACCTCCAAAGCTGAGTGTGTTGTCGATGTGTTGGATAAAAGTGGGAAAGTTGTTTCATCAAGTAAAGGGTATTCAGGATCAATTACTATAGAAAATGCTATATTCTGGTGGCCCTATACTGTTGATCCTAATCCCGGTTATCAATACACTTTGAAAGTGTCTCTAACAGAGAGCGGAAAAACAAATGATATTTACTATCAAAAAGTTGGGATCAGAACTGTTAAGGCGACCGAAAAGGAGTTCTTAATAAACGGGAAATCATTTTATTTCACGGGATTTGGCAAACATGAAGACGAAAATGTATGAATAAACTTTAA